AAGTCCCTGGCAACTACCACTCTGATAACTGGCTTATTTCTTTTAGCATAGTCCTCAAGAGTCATTCATGTTCTGTTATGTCAGAATTTCCTTTACTTTTTAAGACTTAGTGTTATTCTATTGTATAGCTATCCCACATTTGTTTTTTATCTATTCATCCATTAATGAATGCTTCAGTTGTTTTACCATTTGTCTGTTGTGAATAGTGCCACTATAAACATGAGTATACACAAAAGTTTCTTAGAGGCCCTATTTCAATTGAGATATATACCCAGAAGCAAAATTGCTGGATCATGTGTTACTATTACTAGCTACTCATATGTTTGCTTGTTACCCTCCAAACAAACCACAAAAACCATATAAAGGAAAAAATTTTATTAAAAGATAATTACAAGGAGAAAGAGGGGCCTAACATAGTCACAAATCTGTGCAAGGACCTTTTACAGTAAGGAAGAGAGGCAAGAAAGACTACAAGGAGACAGTGGACAGCTCCAGGATTCTTCATTCCTCCCATCCTTTTTTTTCCTCCCTCCCTCCCTTCTCTGTGGAAAGAAAACTGAACTTTGACCTCCTGGGACCAGGATCTGCACCTTGTGTCCCTTCCTCTGCCCTGAGGAGGGGTGAAGGTTTTCCTCCTAGGCCTGAGGAAGTTTAGAGAAACCACTTGTCTTTAAAAAAATCTAGCTTTTAAAGTTTTATTTTGCCCTGCCAATTACAATTTAACAGTAATTCTGCTTTTTGAAGAAATCTCTATAGGATTTACAGCAGCTGCACCATTTTACATTCCCACCTGCAATGCACAAAGCATTCCAGTTTCTCATATCCTTGCCAACACTTGTTATCTTCTGTTCCTTTCTGTTGATAGCGGCCACGCTAATTCTTTTGAAGTGATTATTTCATTGTGGATTTGATTTGCATTTTCCTAGTGATCAGTATATTGAGCATATTTTCATGTTGTTTTGGCCATTTGTATATCATATTTGGAAAAATAGCTATTCAAGTCTGGTGTCCATTTTAAAATCATAGGTTTTTCAATGTTAAATTTTAAGAGTTCACTATATGTTCTGTGTAATGTAATTCTGAAATATATATATATATATATATACATATATAAAACGCAAAATGTACACACACTTTAGGAAAAGAAAAACTTGTATAAATATTTTAATACTAAATGTATTGCGACATCATGAGATTAACACAAGTTACCTTTGGTCTCTACTCACAAGAGATGCTCAAAAGGTAGCCATTAGCTACCAGACATTTATTATTAGCACAGTGACCTGCTTAGGTAACCCTAGCCACTAAGATTGCTGCACATGCATTATCAGTTTCTTCTCCACGGGCCCACAGTGTAGTGGGTTTTCTGTGATATATAACATCCTCTAGGGGCTCCATGCAAGGGTAACATCATCCATTCAAAAAACATAGTAGTATTTTTTTCCTGTAGTGTAAACACATTTTTGGTGCTCTGTCTCTCTCTGTGTGTCTCTCTCTCATTATCTACCTATCTATCTATCTATCTATCTATCATCTTATCTATCATCTATATATGTACTATCCACCATCTATTTATTTCCTTATTGGATATGTAATCGGCAGATTTTTTTCTCCCATTTTGTGGATTGCCCTCTCACCTTCTTGACTGTGTCCTTATCTGAAGACTTTAGCAGCACTTTGGTTTTAAACTCAAAATACCTGGATTGAATATCTGGCTATGTGACACTGGGAAAGCTGCTTAACTTCTAGTCCACCATAGTTTTCTCATCTGAAAAATAGAGATTATTTTATAAGAGTTCTGAGTTTATAAGATTGCTATGATCATGAGTTAATGAGATCATCATGTAAAATGTTACCTCAGAGTGTAGTCCAGTTTAAGAGCTCATGAGTAGAAACCTTTATTTAGTATCTGCTTAGGAAGGAACCAGAATGATGTAACTGAAATATGATATTATTTATTATCAAATGGGTGAGTAGGCCAGCCATTACTAAGTAACCAATCCTAACACAATAATATTACATAATACTTAACACTTGCATAGCAAATTGCAGTTTACAAAGCATTTAGACATTCATCATTAATTCAGCAGGCTCCACTGAGGCCATAAGGATGAGTAAGACAAAGTCCTGCAGAACTGAGTAGGAGGAAGGAAAAAGGAAAAAGGCAGTTTCAATCAGGCTGATAAGTACAAAGAAGACAGAAGCACAGGGAGCTGGCCAGGGTGGAGACATGAAGAAAGAGCAGTTGACACCGGGGGAGGACCTAGCAGGTGAATAATCACAGAACACTGCAGAATTACAAGTTAGTGGCAGCAAAAAGAGAGCTCAGAAGGCCTGAGCATTCTCAGTAGAGCAAGAAACTAGTACGAAGGAGGTGAGAGAGGCTGTCTTGTTGGGAAACACCTATTAGTTTATTATGGCTGGAAACTAAAATTTCAGAAGGAAGAATGATATAGAATGAGCCTAGAGAGTCTAGCAGCTTTCAGATCATGAAGAGCTTGTGAACAAGGATAAGGAGTTAAAATTTTTTGCTCTGAAATAATGAGATACTTAAGGGTTTACAATAGATGAGCAATGTGACTGAGCTTGTTTTATTTTTATTTACGGAGAAAAAGAAAAAAACAGAAAAAGGGTACAAGTAATACAAAATTTTAAAAATAAACAGCAAGAAATCACTAGTTAATAGATTACATATTCTCATCTTAGAAATAGTTGTTCAAGTTACAAAATTGAAGCATATAAAGTGGACTTTCAAACAGTGAGAGTGCAAACACTTTTGTTCAATGATCCAAAAAAACTCAGTAATATGATTATCTATCTTATACACTTAAACATATATGCAGTTATAACCTTTAGAGCACTTTCTTTTCTTTTCTTTTGTACAATGACAATTACACATTTTTGGGTTTTATTACTCCCACAGTTATTATTACTTTTTTTGAAGAGAGTAAAATCAAATGCGACATATCAGAACAGAGTCAGTCAAATCAAAAGGATGCACATAATAGATAGTGTAAAAACAAAATACAAAGTGATCAACAATGGTTACCATACGTCCTCTTGCTATTTTAAGAAGATTTGCCAGTTATAATAAAATTAAACAAAACAGTAAAGAATGAAATCAAAGCATTGGAGACATTACAGGACTTTAAAAGAAGATAATAGTCAACTGGAATGGGCGCCATAATGATTGTTATTGTTTTCACAGTTATGCCTATACTTTCGAACTTGGTACTATCAAGCAAAGCAGAATAGGGGAAAATCAGTCAAAGCAAGATGGTGAGAGCAATACAGGGCTTCAAATCAAGTTAATAGGAAATCAAAGTAGGTTACTATAATGTATCCTGCTATTTTATATTTATTATTCCTTGACTGAGCTTGTCTTTGAGAAAGGTTTCTATGGCTGCAATGTGAAGAGTGAAATAAAGAGGATGTAACTGAGAAAAAAAATAATGAAGATATGTTGGGTTCAAGAGACACTTGCGATAACATGGATCAGATGTTGATCTGAATGGATGATCTCAGTTCACTCTGTGAAAATAACTTGAGTGTTTTCATTTCATTCAAGTTGAGTAATGCAGGTTGAGGAACGCTAAGTGATTTATACAAAGTCTCACAGATGGGAAATATCCAATCAGAATTCTGACTTTCCACCTCGACAACCCCTGTTCACTTCTCTAGAAAATACAGTACGTTTTTAGATCTCTATGTGTAAATTCCCTTTAAGGAACTCATGTCCTATTTTCCCATTGACTATTAAGCAGCAGTCATTCCAGAAGTACTTTATCTGAGTTTTTGGCATCCACATATTATGACTTCGAACGCTGGAGCTTCAAGTCACTCTCATCTTCCATTCTACCTAGTGTCTAATGAATAGCCTGCAAGCAAATACTCCCATCTCTGCAAGGTGCTGCTTAAATTGTGAAGCCCTACCACCTCCCTGTTCAGAAATCTGTTACTTTCTTGTCGCATGGTTGGTGGGCTCCAAGGGAGGAACAGCATGGTGGGAGAGAGCTGCTTATATCATGGTGGTTAGGAAGCAGAAAGCAAGGCAAGAACTAGGGACAAGAATATACCCATCCAGGTTGTGTCCCCAATGACCTACCTCTTCCAACCAGGCCCCACTCCTAACAGCACATTCTGACTACTGAACTCATTACTGGGTGAGTCTACTGATGCACGTAATGTCCCATGACCCAATCACTTTCCAAAAGTTGTACCTCTGAGCACATGAGGCTTTTGGGTGGATATTCTGGATCCAAAACATAAGAGGAGCTTTTGTGAGCAAAGCCCACTCTGACTGCTCCTGACTCTTTGCTGCAAAGCTGAGCAAGTCATGGTTGTTTTTGTTTTGTTTTGCTCTTGCCAGGCTGGCACTGTGCTGCTGAGCCATAACCCCAGCCCTTCGAGCAAGTTGTTCTATTACAGGTAAACATGCTTGAGTCAGAGATATTTCATGGTTTTTTCCTCCTCAAAAGATGATGAGCCCCTTGTTGTTAGAGACAGTGGCACTCTTTTCTCTCCCCAAGAATGACTGCCAAAAAGGCACTGCATATTGGCATGCCGTAAATATTTGCTGATTGAGAGGAAGACAGAAAATTGTTCTGATCTTTTTGGGGATTCTCAAACACATTTTCTTTGTTTAAGACTGATAAATTAACCTGCTATCATGTTGCTCTAGAAGCTGGACAGACAAGAAGTCATTTTATTTCAACTTTGGATTAGAAATAAGGAAATTTTGGTTATAGTCCTAACTCTGTCACTAACTACTGAGAAGTTTGGCAAATCAGTTAACTACATTTGGACTCAAGCCTCCCTCAGTCTCAACTGAAAAAAATGGGGAAGCTTACTTCCCCAATGGGGAAGGCTAAGGAATAAACAAAATAAAATAAAATATAGACAACTTGAAGCAAGAGTATTGAAGACTCTAAAATACAGACAACAAATGGCGGTGACTCCGGAGAGATTGGAAACAAGATGAGTTCTATGAATGCTCCAGCTTAGTTTTTAAACAGCTTTATTGAGCTATAATTCATACACAACTCACTCATTTAAGTATACAATTCACAAATACATTAGCATATTCGCATGATGTAGCTATCAAAAAGATTGTAACATTTTCGTCATCTCAAAAGGAAATTACCTGCCTTTTAGCCATCACCTCTCAATTCCCCTCAGCAATTACTCATCTACTTTCTGTAATTTTAGCTATCCCTATTCTGGAAATTTCAAATAAATATAATCATATAAGATGAGGTCTTTATAATTGACATCTGGAAACATAATAGTCATCTATGTTTTGGCATGTATCAGTAATTTATTCATTTTATGGCAAAATAATATTCCATGGTATGAATATGCCACATTTTGTTCATACATTCATCAGTAGATGGACATTTGGATTGTTTCCACATTTTGGTTGTTATGAATAATGCTGCTATAAACACACCTCCCAACATGCTGGGATTACAGACATGTTTAGCCATGTCCAGCTATGGCACGGTTATGGCTTGAATCTAAAATGTACCCTAAAAGTCTTGTGTTCAGAAATTGTTCATGTGATGTGGGTGGATTTTTGTTCCTTCTCTTTCTCTGCTTCCTCGTTGCCATGGGGTGATCAGGTGTCCTCCATGATGCCCTTCAATCATGCTGTTTCTTCCTTGGAGCCATGGACAGAGACCAGTAGAAACCAGCAAAATAAACCTCTCCTTTAAGTAGCAGGTGTTGAGGATTTTGTACCAGTGACAGAAAAATCACTAAAGCAGATGGTTCTTTTGAAACACAAAAACTTTTAATTTTGATGAAACCAAGTTTTGTGTGTGTGTATGTGTGTTTAGTCTTTTAGTGGTATAAAGAAAATTCTTTGCTGAATCTGAAGTCATAAACATTTACTCCTCTGCTTTTTGTAAGAATTTTATAGCTGTAGCAACTCTATTTAGGTCTATGATCCATTTTGAGTTAATTTTAAACATAGTGTAGAGAATGGTTCAATTTAGTCCTTTTACATGTGGCTCTACAGTTGTCCTGGAACTATCTGTTCTTTCCCCCACTGAATGGTCTTGATACTCCTGTCAAAAATCAGTCGATGGTGGGCATTGTTGTATGTTTGTAATCTTAGCTATTCATGAGACTGACACAGGAGGAAAACAAGTTTGGGGACAGCCCAGGAAACTTAGAAATATCTGATCTCATAATAAAATGAAGCAATTGACCATAGACATATGGTGTTATTCTAGCCCGTTGGTGTGTATGACTATCCTTATGCCAGTACAACACTGTCATGATTACCATTGCTTTGTATTACAAATTGAATTTAGGAAATGTGAATCCTCCTACTTTGTTCTTTCTTCTCAAGATTATTTCAGCTATTCTGGATCACTTGCAATTCTATATCGATCTTAGAATCAGCTTGTCAATTTCTAAAGAAAATCTAGCTTGATAGCCTGTAGACATTGCATTGAATCTGTAAGTCATTTTAGGAGGTATTCCTGGCTTAACAATATTAAATTTTCTGACCCATGAGCACAGGGTGCTGCATTTATTTAGAACTTTTAAATTTCTTTCAACAGTGTCTTTTCCTTTTCAAAGTATAAATTTTTATACCTTTCCTTAAATTTATTCCTAAGTGTTTTATTATTTTGAAGTTATTGTTAATCGAATTGTTTCTTGAAAAGTCATTTTGGATTTTTCATTGCAAGTATATATACAATTGACTCTTGTAAAGTGATCTTATATTCTCCTATATTGTGATCAATTTGTTTTATTAGATACAAATTTGATGTGGATTCCTTAAGGTTTTCTACATACATGATCATCTCCTCTGCAAATTGAAATGATTTTCTTTTTTTCATTCCGAGTCCAGATGACTTTTTCCTGCCTAATTGCCCTGGGTAGAATTCCAGTACAATGTTGAGACACTGGCATCTTTGTTTTCTTTCCAATCTTAACGGTAAAGCATCCATTCTTTCACCATTTAATGAGTTCAGGAAGTTCCTTTTTATTCCTAGTTCATTCCACATTTTAACTGTGTATGTGTGTGTGTTGGAGGTGTGTGTTGCACTTTATAAATGCTTTTTTTCTATACCTATTGAGATGATACTGTGTGATTTTGTTTTTACTCTACAGCAGTGGTACATTATATTGATTTTCAGATGCTTAACCAACCTATATGCCTGGGTTATTTGCATTCATATTTATAAAGTATATTAGTCTGTAGTTTTCTAGTGATGCCTTTGCTTTTGGTACCAAGGAAATCCTGTCCTCCTAGCACGCATTGAGAAGTATTCCATCTTTTTCCTTTTCTATTTTAGATGAAGTGTATAAAGAATTAGTGTTAATTCCTTCATGTTTGTTAGTACTCAGTAGTAAATCATCTGGGCCTGGACTTTTGATTATGGGCAGTTAATGATTTTTAATTATAGGTTCAGCATTCCTTATCCAAAATTTGATTTCAGATTTTTTTTTGATTTTGTAATATCTGCATGTACTTAATGAGATGTCTAGAAGAAGTGACCCAAGATAAACATGAGTCCATTTATATTTTTTATATATCTTACACACATACACTGAAGAGATTTTATATTTTTAGCAATTTTGTGTATACTATGAAACAAAATTTCATAGTATGCAGCTTCCACTTTGTGGTGTTATGTCAGTGCTAAAAATGTTTTAGATTTTAGAGCATTCAGATGTTAGATTTTGGGGTTACAGATGCTCAACCTATATAACCCACTTCAATATTTGCCATTTCTCTTTGAATCCATTTTAGTAGTTTGTATCTTTCTAGGAATTTTTCCATTTCATCTGTCTACTTATTGGCTTACAGTTGTTCATAGTATTCCTTTAAAATGTTTTATTTCTATAATGTTGGTAGTAATGTTTCCTCTTTCATTTTTGACTCTAATATTAAGTATCCCAGATATTTTTCTTATTCCATCTTGCTAAAGATTTGACAATTTTGTGGACCTTTTCAAAGAACTAGATTTAGGCTTCACTGATTTTTCTCTATTGTTTTGTCTATTACTTATTCCATTAATTTCCACTCTTATTATTGTCTTCCTTTGGCTTGCTGTAGGTAAAAAATCACTGAATAAAATATTTCCTTATATTATTTGTGTTGGTTTTGTTTCTTAACCTACCTTACTTTCTTAGAAAGGTATCATATTCCACCACTGGATAGCTGTAAGTTCTTGTATTCCTGCCCAATATATATTGTCAAATTAAAGCAATTTTTGGTGAATAAATAGATTTTTAACTTCTGAAATCTTACTTTAAATCATATGGCCCATTGAGCATCAGTGATATCTAAAAGTGTTGTAGAAATGTAGGCCATTTGTGGACCAAGTGAATCAAAATCACATTTTAACAAAGTGTACATGTAATTACTATAAACATTAAACTTTGAGATACACACTGACATAGAAGCACTACTGTTGAAGGAAATCAAAGTGATGACCCATGCATATGGATCTATGAAATATTGAAGAACTTACAACTATAGTTTGATTGAGATGATACTGTGTGATTTTTGTAGAAGCTAAGCTTAGTCTAAGAGTGGGCTTAATTCACTAGCTTGGGACTTTTGCCAGGAAACTTAACAGAACATCAAGGTCTGAGCTGAGAAAGAGACTAAAACTCATAGTGGCTGAAACAGAGAAAGACCTCTTGGAAGGCAAAAGACTGAGTGGAGGTAACAGGAAAATGAATGACAGAAAAGCTAGTTTCAGGAAAATGAATAACAGAAAAGCTAGTTTCAGGATATAAATATTATCATAGCACCATATGAATTTTAAAAACATTCCATATATTTTTATATACACACATGCATGAAGATTATTCATACAAATGTGTGTATGTGAATGTATATACAAAGACATGTACAAGACATGTATAAGAATGATAACACATTTAAGATAATGGTTACCTCATAGGTGAATTAGTTATCATGGTACGTAACAAATTCACAAATTACCCCCACCAATATACATACATGTAAAGTCTTTATAAAGATTGCTATGGTTTGTGTCTAGATGCCCCCCAAAACCTCACTGCATCCACTGTGGGGTGGGTTTTCTTCAGCAATAGCTGAATCTAGAGTGTGTGACTGATTATGGTTCAGTGCTAGGATTAAGGGAGCTGGGATTAAGGGTTGGTGGTTGCTGATCAATCCACTGACTGGATTAGTACTCCCCTAATCCCAGAAGTCTGGATAAGATAAAAAGGGAAGAAAAAGCCTTGTTTTACTCTTTTGCTCTTATTGCTTTTGGTGTCTTCTGTGGCCATGAACAGCTGCTCCTCTGCAATAAGCCACCCTGCCTTGGAGCCAGCAAATTATGAACTGAAACCTCCACAAACTGTGAGCTAAAGAAATATTTCCTCCCCTAATTTGGGTGTTGGGTATTTTGCCCTAGCAACAAGAAAAGTAACTAAGACACAGATATATGTAAGAATAATACATTTATGAAGATAAATAATAATGTCTTGGAAGATGAATTAGCTATCAAGGTGCATAACAAATTAACAAATTACACCCTTCTAAATTCAGCAGCTTAAAACATATATTTTCAGGAATTTGGACATGGCTTAGCTATCTTCTGCTCAGAGTTTGTCACTAGGCCACAATCAAGTTGTTAGTTGGGGATGTAGTCTCATCTGAAGACTATCATGGAGGATCTGCTTCCGAGTTCATGCACATAGTGGCTGTCAGGATTCAGGTCTTTATGTGTATTGGACTAAGGTCTCAGTTCCTCAGCAGCTGGTGGTCTTCTTTTGATTCTTTGCCATGTGGGCCTTCCTATAGAGCCCCTCACAACTTGTCAGTAGGATTCATCAGAGGGAGCGTGTGAGAGTATTAGCAGAATGGAAGTCACAATCTTTTGTAACCTGGTAAGAGAAATGACATACAATTACTTTGGTCATATTCTATTCCACCAGAACCCAGTGACGAAATCTAGTCTACACTCAAGGGGATGGTATTACACAAGGGCTTGGATACCAGGAGACAGAGATCATTGAGGGGATACCAGTATGTAGTTTTCAGTCCATAGTCAGCTGTTTCCAAAGTAGGATGGCACGGCAGAAGGAAATGGTCAAGAAGAGCTGCTCATGGGAAGGCTGCAAAGGCAGAGAGAGACAGAGTGTCAGAGAGAGAGGGTCAAAGGAGGAGTGGAGAAGAGATAAAGAGATAAACCCTTCTACGCTGCACCCCTAGTGACTCACCTCTCTTCCTTCCAGATCCCATTCCTAACAGTAACACCTGTAAGTCCCCATGATCCAATCACCACCCCAAAGCTCCAACTATACAAGTACATGAGGCTTTGCAGAAACATCTAGACATAAATCATAACAACAGTCCTCACTAAAGTGTGATTTTCTTCTGTTACAAAAATTACCCTTTTGTTGAGGCATTATTTCTAAGAGTTCTCTCTGATAAAATAATGTTCAAATATAAGTATGTTAACTTCAGCACAGTTGTCCTTAGTGGCCTATTTATTAAATTTTTGCGGGGATACTGACCTCTTTGGAAGTTCCAAGAAACCTGTTGTTATCCTATCTCCAAATACATAACATTTTACAATTTCAAACCATGATTCAAGAACTCTTTAGAAAGAAACTTTACTTTTTCCATGAAAGACTGAATTAGGACTTGAGGAAACAAATCACTAATCTTGTATATTTTCAGGTTGAGAGATCACAGAGGAGGAACAGTGACTTGAAAGTGGGAATACTTCCTGGAGAGCAGAAAATTAAGTAGCTGGAGTATTTGGATACAAAAAGGCCCTGAGCAGCCCTGCAGTAGCGTCATGAGTGAAGGCATGTGGGTCAATTGGACCCAAGGAGAATTGGGAGCCGAGAGGCTCACAGAGTAGAGAGAATCAGGATGTCTTGGGAATTTATGAAAGAACAACATAATCTAAACTCTCACTTAAGTATTATGTTTGGATTTTCCTTTTTAATCATGATATAGGAAATGCAGTAGTTGTAGTTAGTGAAAATTTCATTTTCAGAACCTTTAGGAAGTTCTAGGTGAGTCTAGAAACCTTAGGTATTAATATTTATGTCCAAAAAGGGTGGTAATTAATATATGTGCTCAGAGTGAAGATTTCCCTCATAATATTGGCATGGTTTATGACTGCTCTATTCATGATCCATGCAGCAGAATAAAATCCATCACTTTAGGACAAACTGTTAATAGATTTGGGTGGGTATGACAGCTGTGTGCTCCTTCTGTACAACTCAGAATGATATCTTCCTTTGTCCAAAAATAGTAATTGTTAACTTGACGCAAAAGATTCTGTTTGATGAGGTAAACTTGGAATAAATGCCAAATATAGTACATGACCCCTGTTACCACTACGGTAGTCTTATTTCCTTTCTTAAGAAAACATGTCTATGGCTCTACTGCAGGTCTCTTAAAAACCGGCATGTTAGATAGTTAAGATAGTTATACAGGTAGTTTCTCTTAGTTCATTGAAAAGAAAGTTTTGTGATAATATTTTTTGGACATGATATCATGCCTATATCTTGTACTGTGTATAACTACTATGAAGACAATATGCACTGTATCAACTATTGTAGCTGTCCTACTAACCTGTTTTGAAACTTCTTTTCATTATTATATTTATCTTTAAAAATTAAAAACAAAACAAAACAAACACTGTCATGCTAACCTTATCTTCTTGTCTTGTGAGAGAGAAAGACTCCAAGATATATTTTACTTCCTGGTTACTGTTTAGGCCCAGAATTACAGAACATGCTATTTGGAAGGGTTACAGTCCATGTTACTTCTCTTTACAATTACTTTAATTACCCAAAATAATCCCTTGACTTATTTGAACTTCTCAGAAGAGAAGCAGAAAAGATGAGCAGGTAGGAAAATATACGTAGCTACATTGTCTCATGCTATGTTTATTACCGCAAACTCATTTTCTTCACAAACTGAAGCCTTTGTAGAATCCATAAAGGAGGGTTTTAAACAGGCTCTGAAAGGATTTTAAAGTTCTTCTTAAAAGTTTGTAAAAATAGGATTTACCAAATGTTCAGAAATAATTATGATGAATCACAATTGTGAAGAAATAGTTTTCTGTCTTTATTACAAGGTTATTTTTAAAGTGTTTCTTCATGAATCATACAAAATAAGCAATTGCAAAACAAACTGTCATCTTCATAACTACGTCTGAGAGAGGGAAACGAGTTAAAAAAAGAAAACCAATATTTTAATTGAAGATTACTTTTTCACAGTAAAAGCAATGATACAGCAATGGAAGAAACAATGTACTTTCCAAATGCAAATTACATCATTATTAAATAATGCTGTTATTAAATCTTGACTTAATTTTTATTCATAGCAAAGCTCCAAATTAACTTGGTAATATAGCAGGCCCTCATAGATTATTAAATTCCTTTAAAATCAAATCAGCAAATTATCTTAGTTCATGAAACTGAAATCAATTCTTTTGAGCAGATATTGATGATGGAGTTGATTCTCTGTCCAGAACGACTTTTACTAAAAGTGAAGCAAGTAACTGACTACTTCCACATGCATCAACACCACATGCTTCCTTTGCTAAATAACTATGAGTTAAATAACTACTGCAAGTATTTTATAAAAAGAATGTTGTCTCTACTCATGTCCTTTCGTTCTTAGCATTACCACAAACATCAAACATCTGGTTATGCTGACATATTCTCAGCACAGATGAGTTGGAGGGCATTCAGAGCTTAACAACTATCACTGAGAAGTTACAATTATGACAGCCCTCCGCGCAATAGATGTTCCACCCACAAAAGTTGATATTTCTAAGGGCACCTCTCAAGTGTACTATAACATAAATCACACGTCTATGTTTCCTATTAGTGAACTTCCTGAAGGCACAGAAACACTTTTCTAAAGATCTCTGCTATTATATAACACAGGGCCTTGTACATAATAACAATGAGAAAGATAATGATAATATTAATCTTTATTGAACACTTACTATGTACTATACCCTATATCCTAAGCACACTACATGATTAACTCAATCCTTACAACAACCCTGTGAGGGAGGTACGATTTATACACATTTACAAACAAGGCAACTGAGGTACCTATAGAATGAGTAGCATGTCCAAGCTCAATACACTAAGTGAGCTACAGAACCAGGAATAAAACCCAAGAAGCCCAGCTCCAGAGTAAGGAGTTTAATCTTTTTTTTTTTTTTTTTTTGGTCTTTTTCGTTTTTATCGGTACCAGGGATCGAACTCACTACTGCCTGCTTGCAAAGCAGGCGCTTATGCCGCTGAGCTAAATCCCCAGCCCCAAGGAGTTTAATCTTTAAAAGTATGTTCTGCTGCGTGGGCTTTATGCTCAATAATTTTCAAGGCAAATGTTTGCTTGAATTTTCTCTAAAAATGTACTGGACTATAAAAGTAAAGACTTTCAAAGAAGTTGCCTGGGGATGCTACTATTGTGCAAAATCTTTTGTAATTCCTTCTTTGGAGCTGTTTTTGGACCCAGTTTATGAATAACAGAAGAAAAGCAGTCAATATATTATGGTCATAGCTCATTTAAAAATAAACACAATGCTATTCAGCTTGATAAATGCCTTATTTGCCCATATTTCTTCATATGTTTTCTGAAAACATTCTTCATTAAAATAATAAAGATTTGTTATTACTGAAGATGGTCCAAAATGTGATACAAATAGGTTTTAGTCAGCTAGTAAACATTTACCAAGCAAGTAGTTCTATACATGCTTGAAACACAAAAATCAAACAAGATACTTTATTTCTGCTTTTAAATAAACCCTGGGAAAAAGTTGTTGATGTCAGCATGAAAACTGCCTTAGTTTTAAGTATGTTTGAGAATTGTTTGCTTTTGTTACTAAAACATTTACAGCATTTCTCCAAAGAATTTTGTTGATGAAGTAAACAGAAAAACCAATATCCTAAGATATTGTCAGAATTCACCACTGTGAGTGAATACACTTTATATACAGTGGGCACATGATGACCATGTTTTGGATAAAGGAATAAATCCATAATTATGATTTTTCATATTTAAATAAAACATTTATATCTTACTTCCTGTTAGTCAAATAGGGCAGAATAACCATTCATAGAGATAAAGGACTACTCTGGAAGAAGCTTCTCCTTTTCTCACTGTATCAATCTGAAAAGAGGTAATTTTGGACCATGAGAGGTGGAAGATAGGCCATCTAAGACAGGGCTGCCTTATGTTTTGGTAGCTTGCCTGTCCATAAACAATCAAACAACCCTAGCGTTACACAAAACTGTCCCTGGAGAGATTGAAAAGTCTCAAGAGAAGGATAAATGTCACCGGACACTGGTGGAACTAAGTGCTTAGATATGATGAAAATTGACGGAGAGTGTTCTACCCTAGTTGCATGTAGAGGAAATAATTTAAAAGCTCTTTCTTATAATCCTCAACCTGTAAGTGGCCTGACTGTAATTCTTTAGAACTATTACAGAGAGCAAGAAGGAAGAAGCACAACAAGAAAGCCTAGATGAAGATCAGGAGAGATCCCAGGTATGAGATGCTACCTGGGAAAGAAAGCCCTTTCTAGGATTTGACAGTGACATGACCCTACAGAAGAATGTACACTGGCCACTTGGGAAAGAGGAATACCTGATAAATAAAGGGCACTAAATATAAATGAACTACTTCATAATTCTGTCTACAGCTAGGCTCAGTGAGTTCAAAAAAGATAATCTTCCTGCTCTATTTACCTCCCTGCCATTTATTTACTCATTTAACCCATAAAATATTTAACTAACCACAATAGGGAGCTGAAGGAACCTCAGAAAGAAGGTAATATAGTTTCTTCCCTAAAGTGCTTTGCAATTTCAAGGGATTCTGATGCAGTGCAGAAGTTATATCTTGGTGCTAAGGCAGAACACTGACCAAACTGGTAGAATGTCCTTCCCCGTTTTATCATACCCATTCCCCAACACTAGTGTCAGTCATCCCTGGGAACAGAAGATCATTTTTCTCTGGAAAGTTCCTTTTCAATGTTGTAAGTTTACATTTGAAAATCGGAAGAATCCTAATTTTCCAATACCTTTCTTGAAAACTTTTGATATTAGAATCTATTCTAAGGACTGGGGACATT